TAGACTCCCTCAAGAGCCCAACAGTTCAGGGTAATAAAAAAATTGATCCGGCGCTCGACAACACTTCCTCCTCATTCATGCAAATACTTGGAAAGAGAATGTCTTCATTCATCCGTGAGAGGCAGTTTAAAGACAACTAGCTGTTTGCTTAGGACATAAAAAGGTTAGCCAGACACATCACTGAGTCTGTTCGCAGTGATACAGAGAAACAAAAATTACTATAACCATAAGTACCAAAAGGCACATTTTCTTGCAAATAATGAGTATAAGACGATAACCGCGTCGGCACAAATTATAACAGACCTCATTCGCCATTCTGACCTTGCCGCACTGGTAATGTTCTGCTGACATCACGGGGAGAAATAATTTATCCTTCAATCTTTAAGTATTTGACAGATTTCTTGTACCCTCACTTCCCTCTGTGTTATATTATACCGGTTACTACCGTGCTCCGGTGTGCGGCAGCCGTCTGCTTCTACCAATAATTCCGTCCCAGTGCATATAGTGGTATCTCGACTGCTACGAGGTATGCCTGCACGTAGAATTGCATCAGCATAAAGGCTTAAGGAAGGATACTACAGCGTTTACGAATATGCAGATTCCCAGTGGTTCTTTGTCTCCCAGGGACATTATTATGGATGGTGGCATCTGTAGAATGGCAACTTGGTAGATCTGACTCCAGGATAATAAGATGTAACTATGACTAGCATATTCATACACGAGGTCAACAAATTATGAAATTAATAAGAGGATGACCCTTTTGAGGTGTTTTGTCAATAAGTGTTTTGTAAAAAAATAAGGTCTACGTGTTTTCAACTTCTTTTTTGTGACACTGTGTACATGTATAAATAACGGTCTGGCCTTCATCAGCAGACCGGGTTTGCATAGTTACGTATGTCATCCGGTCGTTTCCACAATAAGGGCAATCTTTTTTAACGGACGGTCCATCGTTAGAGGTTGGGAGAACGCCATCAGCTTCTGCAGACAATTTTAATGCCTCTTCAGAACGAAGTATTGTCTGTGCGCGTTCCAACATCTTCGGGAAAAAAGGCCATGACTGAAGTCTCGACATATCGGACTCCGGACCGCTTTC